AAGTTGGTGCCAACACAACCAGCTGTGATATCTGAATGAACATATGACAACTATCTTTCAGCCAGCAGTGCTTTTAACTCTTCAGAGTACTTTTTTTGTGAAGTGCCTTGAACATGTTGTGAATTGGCCCTATAAATTGGACTGAAATCAAATGAGGGACTTTATGTGAGAGCAACAAAGTAGTGCATAGCTCTGGGAAACTTTTACACAGTATTCATTTTCTCTTTTTTTTCTTACAAGTAAAAGTTTGAAACGTTCATAATGCACTAGCATTTAAGCTTCTTTATTGCAAATTCTCTAAATTAAATCCAGAGCAATGCATTGCTTTCAAAACGTAATAAATGTTACTTGTGTTTAATTTGATCTCGGTATAAGAACTGGTGTTCTGTGAACACTTCAGACGTTGGTTAGACCACTTTAGTGAACAAACCGCATCATGAAACGACTGACAGTTCAAGGATAACATTGTGGACAAATTAGGGATAGGCTACAAAACAATAACTCCAGTTTAAACGCATCAGTGTAAAACACTAAAACTGTCACAGAAAAGGAAAATAAAAAAATGGTACAACTACAAATCTATCAAGGGATGGCCATTTACCAAAACTGAAAAGCTGAACAAAGAGAATTAAGGAGCAAAGCTTTTATTAGCAACTCTGAATGAGCTGCAGCATTTCACAGTTATGGTGAAAACTCATGACAACTGTCACCAGCTAAATAATCTTTATGGACAGAAGCCATTTTCTGTTTGAAAAAAAAGTTCCAACACTATCATTGTGAAACATGGTGGTGGCAACATCATGCTGTAGGGAAAAGGAAGCTGGCTGGAGTAGATTGACAGATGAATGCATTCAAATAAGGAGAAATCCTGCAAGAAAACAAGTTTGAATAATCATGAAAAACTTACAAAAATGACACTAGATGTGCAAAGATGGCAGACAGATGGTGATAAATTTGCAACAGTAATTGCAAAGAAAAGTGGTCAACTCTTTGTTTTTTACTCTCAATATAAATAAGAGTAAAAAAAAACGCATATTTAAAGAACCAAGACTAAAACTATACTTTTGTTCCCTTCCAGTTCACATTAATGCGCTGTCTGGTGTCAACCCAATACAAACTTCCAATCTACAAAAAAATAAATAATGTAAATTTAAAGTTTTAATGTGATACAATGCGAGAGTTAAAAAGGGATCTAAATATTTTTAGAAATTATTCTTACTTTATTTCCCATCATGGTGTAAGATTTCCCTGAGCCCGTTTGGCCATATGCAAACACACAAGCATTGTAACCGTCAAATGCTGCTTTCAAAACGTCTGACCCCAAGTCCTTGAAAATCTGAGAGAGATGAAAAGTTTATTTAAAATAAATAAATAAATAAATATTTCACTTCTGTACAACGCAAAATAATAACTTTAATAATAAAATTCACCTTCTCCTGCGATGAAAATGTGGGACTGTCTACATCGACTGAGTCAAAGCAGTAGTCGTATGAAAACATTTTCCCTCTGTCCTTCAGTTTCTCCCCTCGAACAGCTGAAGGCTGGAATGTAAAGTGAATAGTCCACTTTAGGTAATAACTTAATTAAACCCATTCTAAGTCTCGCTCATTTTTTTTTAATAACGTACCTTATGAATAGATGTTGTGTTCCCCCTCATGTGAATTATCACCTTCGAAGATAACCGCTTTTCTCTGTCGAAAATAAATGGGAGTTATGTGACGTTCAATTTTAAAAAGTTAAGATAAAAATAAAAGAAGAAATTCCATTGGACCCACCTTTTATTCAAAGGACGGACTCGGACCGCTACTCTCACCGAAGACATTATCAACCAAACAAATGCCTCGTCTTCCTTTCTTCTTTGGTAAAACGTTTGTCTTTCCTAATTATTCACACCTGGGCTTTCTTTATTCCCCCATGTGATCTAGAAATTAGCCACTAGAGGGGGCGGCAAAGCACGTCCTAATTTTTATGTCCACGGCATAATTTCCTTTCCTAGAGAAAAAGTATACACATTTTTAGGAGTTTTACTACACCTTACTTTTATGAAGTATCGCTACGCTTACTTCGGTACTTGCCGACATGTTGTCCGACAAAGTCAGTAACTTTACTGATTGAAAAAAACAGGCGTTTACCCAAAAATGCACCAGAGACACGCCGAAAGTTTATGTTGAAGTGAGACTTCCTGTTTTTACACAAGCTTTGTTGTTTTAACGTTATTTTAACCTGCTGAGGTTCTTGTGCCATTTCGAGGTCAAGTGGATGTACAGTAAAAATATATTTTCACTTGGAAGTACTTTGTACTGTTCTAATAAAAGGTAGCCCACTATTAGCAAGTATTATGTTCAAACGTTTGACGTTAGACTTAGAAAAGGGTTTCTCCTGCCTGAATTTATTTTGGTACTATTTTCTTTTTCAGAACATTTTTATTTTAGTCTATAAAACACTAGAATTTGAACATCTGTATTTTTTTTCTGTAAAATTACCTAATTTCAAAATGTTTCAGAATATATTAGATTAATTATTCAGTTAAATTAAACAAAACATGAGGTAGATTTAATGAACACTATTAAATCTAGTCAATTCCACAAAATATGTGAATTTTTTTTAAAATATCTCAAAAATTGCATTATTGCGAAGAATGCTATTTTCCCAATGTTTCCGCTTAACGTGAACGCAACATTCGGTGGATTTCCCATGATTCCAAGCGGCAAGAACAAACCAGGCGCGGACGTTCAAAAATAATGGCAGACCAGTGTGACACTTTACAACCAATACCGAACTCAGATGAGACAGAAGGTTCGTCCATTGTCCACAGCGGAGACGGCAGAATAAAGCGGAGACTCTCCTGTTCCTCAGAGAGGAACAGCAAGACCGCCGAGGAGCCCAGTATGACATGTACACTACTTAGCTTACAGAGTGTGTCCGACGATTCAAATTCGGAAATAGATGAAGAACGCCGAACAGACTCGATCAAAATAAATGTAGAATCAAATAATGGCACTGATGTTAAGGGTGTGCCTAATACAGAAGAAAAGGAAAACTCTTCTGAGCCTTCAGATATTATTCAAGGTATGCCTTTAAACTCTGTCTATCCTGCATTCTGTTAATTTTAGAATTTTCTTCAGTTACCAGCTAAATACAGGGTGATTCAGTATTTAGAAAAGTAAATAACTAAGCACTGCAGGCCTATTTGTTTCTGTAAGGAAACAGAAATTAATTTATATCAATTTGTTGATCAAACTATTCTAAACTATTTTTTTCTTAAACATCCCCTACTTCTAGGGTTTCTACACTGCTTATACAGTATTTTTATGGTGAAGCTGCACAATATGTTGAATTGCAGTATAATTTCTTTGCAATATCACAGGCTGGCATTTTGATATTTAATTCGCTTGCAAATTCTTCAGGCCAGTTATATAAATAGCCTGTTAAATTCCCTTTATTGTCCTAGATACCCAACCTTACTGTATATTTGTTTAAGGCTGAAGATATTATGGGCAGGTTGAGGTTTCTCTGGAGCCATTTTATGAGCTTAAGTGATCAACACATACAGTAGGACTATTTGAATGTCATTCTCCATTGTCTTTCCCATTTTGAAGAGTGGTGACCACTAAGGGGACTTTTGTGTTGTGATATAGGCTAACAAGAACTGACAGAAACTCATTAATATTTCGAGGCAGAGACGCTTAAAATGTGAAGTTACAAAAAAATGCTGATTGTGGTTCTGCTCAGACCAAACAGAAACAGAAGAGACTTCTGGTCCAGATGACAGAAAGGACACCAACACTGAGGAACAAGACGCTGAGGTGGTGAGAAAAGCTCAGGAAGAAGGCTGCGTGGACGTGGTCTTCCCCGGCGCCGTGACCCACGACGGCTGCTACCGTTTCGTCAGCGAGATCCTCAAGTGCATCCTCTATCAGAGACAGCAGCTGCCCATGACGTACGACCAGCTGGTTTACTCCCAGAAAAAGCTGCAAACTTCAAAGCAGGTTTGAAGGAAGCCGTCTTGGAGCCATTTTCCTTTCAAAGTGTTGTTGATTTTAAAGTAACCCGCTGCTTGGAAACATTTTGCTTTTCAGGAAAGAGGCGCAGTGACTCGAAGGCCATTGCATTCTGCGGATCTGGATCTGCGCAAATGTCACCAGACTCTTCAGGAGCTGGAGGAGCTTCTGCAGCAGCTGGAGATGCTGTTTTCTTTGAGCAGAGTACCCAGAGTTTTACTGCTGATGGGCGGCTCACTCATTCTACCTAAAGAAATGTATGAGGTCAACATGGAGGCCCTGGCCCTGGCTGCCGGGGATCAGTCTCTCAGAGCCTCCTCCTGCTCGAGGCAGATCTTCCGCACTCTCTTCGTTGCCGACCTGTTGTCCGACAACAATCCTGTTCGCCTGATGCCCACCACGGTCCTAGCGATGGCTCACAGGGAATGTGGCGTCGGTTGGTTCCGACCTAAACTACAGTTTAAAGTCCCGACTCGAGTGAAAAATAAAATCATTACTCTGTCTACGGAGGGGCATGGAGCAGAGGGGGAAGACTGGCAGGATTATGTGTGGTTTCAGGCACCCACGGCCATCAAGGGCTTCACCAACTGACCCAGGTCATTCGCCAAATTTAGAATTTTACAAATTTTAAAGTTTTCTGTTTTAAAACATGTGAATTTAAATGTTTTGACTTGCTCAAAAGTCTAAAGGGATCTTTTTAAAGTAAAGTCTTTAATTTAGTTAATATTTCATCAAGAGACATTATTGCAGTTTTGAGAGCACCTGAATTATTGTCTATATTTATAAAGCATTTTCTTTCATACACATTAAGCACAGCGACACACTCGACTCATTAGTGCAATATACTTTTACTGAACATAACTTGAAAGGTTTATTGCTTTCTTTACATTCTGAGGGAAATCTGAATGTGCAAGCATGTTTACATGTACTGGACCATTAATTTTACTCATGACAAAAAACAAAATGTTGCATGGAAGAAGAAAAAAAAATCAGTTTTCTGTATTTGTGGAACTTAATATGTTGATTGTAATAAAATCCATACAACTGTTTTAGTCAGAAGACTTTCAGAGATTTTCTACTGTTTTGGCAAACTGGATGACGTCGTTGGCCAGGAGCCGGGGCTCCTCCAAGGCGGGGAAGTGTCCGCCTCGGGGCATGAAGGTGTAGGAGACGATGTGCTGGTACCGGATCTGTGCCCAGGATTTGGGGCAATGCATGAGCTCCTGGGGGAAAGCAGCCACTCCAGTGGGCACAAATATCCCCGTCCTAAAACATGAGATTATAAACACACGTATTGGAGATAATTCTGGTCACATTTGGATAATGGCAAAAAAACCAACAAAAAAAAACCTCTTACACTCTTACCTAGTGTCAATCCTGTCATAGAGGTTGCTGCTAAAGTTCTCTTTGTAGAACCGCATGGAGGAGATGATTGAGCCTGTGGTCCAGTAGATCATGACGTTCGTCAAAAGATCATCCAGGCTGAATTTTCTGTTCAAAAGCCACAAACTCTGATTAGCTAGACACTGAGATGATGCAGGGGATTAAAAATCTGAAGTGTGGAATACACATGCAATCAGTTCCATCCTATTAAATATGCTGTAAAACCACTTCTATAATGACACTTTTGTCACATTCTGTTTGAAAATGGCTCAAGTTCAGGCAGATTGGATTGAAAGCATCTCTGCACAGAAAGTTTACCACAGATTCTCAGATGCCTTTAGCTCTGGGTTTTGACTAGTCATTTTTAAATGGTTTAAAAATACATGTATAATCAGCCTGCTTGATAATGCTTATTATAGATTTGTGTTGGTCTATTATAAAAACAATTATAATAGATTTTTATTATAATTTATGATTCTAACATGGCAAACGTTGATGGGGTATGAATATTGTTGCCAGGCATTGCAATGCACAGAAAGTTTAATAAAAATCAGCAAATAATACATATGACTGTATTAGATTTTGAAACTGCTCTTATTGAAATGGAACCAATTACCCTTTTGCCACACTGTCAATAAAAGCTAATTTGTGGAAAAATTAGCTTTAGTAAAAACCCAGCTCATTACACGTTTAGTTATCAGAGGTCCATAATTTTATTGAAGTGGTTGGGAACGTCAGTAACTTTTTTTAGTAAACTCGAAGGAAAATGGAGTCAAGGAATGAGTGGCATTCAAAATAAAACACATTTCGCTGTTTTACCTCTCCAGCCCACCGTCCTCCAGATCTCTGTTCTTTAGGTGAGTCCAGGTGGAGAACTTTTCCAGAATGTAGGCCGCCAAGGCCACAGGCGAGTCATTCAGTCCACGTCCTGCACAAGCATACGATTGTAATAAGAGGTAATGGGGAAAAACTACAGCAGGCTGCACTCTCCAGTAGCTTTAGCCTGTCTTTACAGTATTAAGCTAGATTTTTTTTGTACGTTCTCACCGGCTGTGTCAGGTTTAGTTGCCTGAATGTGAAGGTAGCCAGATTCCTGCAGTATCTCCCACACATTCTTCTGAAAGAAAGGGAACATCCTGCGAACGTCTTCCTGGCTCAAGCCGACCAGGAAGGGAAAGTAAGGCCCAATGATTATGGAGAGTAACACTTTGAAACCCCTATTTGACATGCACATGTTTAGGTGGAGCCCTTTGACACAGCTGGAACAGAAAAAAGAAATACAAGTTAGTTCACCTCAAAACAATCATGCCTATTGTCCCCAACGTCCTGGGAAAAATCTGTGTGTAGAGGACAAGCTTCATTTCACAGCCTAATAATGATACAATGTCTGCTTTGGAAATTCCACTAAAATGATGATGTGCTTTTTCCGATAAACTGTTTTTCACTTTGTTGCGAAAAAAAAACAAAACTATTTTACCAAGCACCGTCAGGTGAAATCACTCAATCGGGTTTATTCATATATTGTGCACAACACAGAGAGCTTGTAGGACAATCAATAATGAAGCAGGTCTGGGTGAAAAGCTCTGCCAGGCAGAGACAACACATGAGTTTTATGACAAGGATAAGGAAGTCAAAACAAGGGGCGAGACAGTCTGGTTCTGGTGCAGCTGTAGAAAACAACTTCCAACCTTGTACATGTAACCCAAATAGTTCTTCTGGTGAGAGTTCACAAGCATTTCATATAACATGATCAGCAGATGTTAACTTGTAGTAATTTTCCACCACACACTTACTCCGGCCTCATCTGAGCCATGTTGGTGGTGATGAGCGAGCCCCAGTCTCCTCCGTGTAGGTAGAACTGGGAGAAGCCCAGGCGCTCCATGAGTGTGAGGAAAATCCGAGCAGCAGCCAAACTGTTAAAACCTTTAACAAGTACAGCACAACATTATTCAACCTTTTAAGGTTCGTCACATTTTGTCATGTCAGACCTAAAAACTGTTTGTTTTTTGTTTGTTTGTTTCAAAACGCTGTGAGAAGAAAACCATTATGCTGTGAGGAGAGAAAACAGGCAAGCTTATTGAAGTTAAAGGGCAGATGGATGGAACTAAATATAAGGCAATATTGGAACAAAACCTGCAACAGTTGCTCAAACAACTTTTCGTCTTTAATTTATTAAAAACTAAAGAGAAAAACTCCTGTCGAGTTCATAAGGCAAGAAGAATCCAAAGACAGGAAATAAACCATATAAAGGAAGATAAGGTTAGCTACAACTCCAAAACAAAGGCAGAATCCAAAAACAGGAAACAAAGTCATACTAAAGATAAAGTTGAGTACAACACAAAGAGACAAAGAGGTTAGCTTCCCCAAACATCACTGACTACCTGCAAGTATCCACCATTCCCACCCTCTCGAATACCCAGAAATCCAACTAAACCGAAAACCCCAGCACCTCAGTTTCCACCACTACATAGGACATACAAACATCCACTAAGGCCTTACAGCTGTCCTCATCCTGTGCTCTCAGACAGGGACTCGGATACCTCAATCATTCATATCTTCAACTGGTGTGTTCTGAGTCCAGGATGTCAGTTTTATCTGTCCTGAGAAACGGCTGAGGCCCAGTTTACAGGAATGCCCTTCGATTCAGGTCATGACTACCAGAAGAGAAAGAATATCTAGATAAACACAATTTAATGTTACACTTCAGTGCCATTTCATGTAAAAAGACAAAGTCAACCTAGTAAATAAAGGAAAGAAAAAATACTTCTTACCCAGTAATTTTACTCTTAAGCGCAATCTTCATTTTCTACAATTAATTGAAACTTGGGAAGGCTGAGACAGCATGAATTATATAGCGGACAGAAACTACTCATAACCTGAAATCCACAACCTTAATGTTGGCCCACAGGTTTTTATAAAGGATTTTAGTTGTGTTACACCTAACATATTGCAGACAGTAAATACTTCCAACTAAGCCAACTAAACTGACTCATTTTGATTAGAAGGAACAATGACTCTACTGTCAGCTCCCCCTGGATGATGGAGATGCTCACCCTATCTGTAAGAGTCCAACTACGGTTGGCACTACTAGCCAAATGTAGTTTGGGAGTCTGGATAAAATAGGGCACCGAAAAACTGGGGCATGCTTTATTTTTATTAGACTAGATTATTCTAATTGGCTTTGCAGCTCGTCGAAAAACGCTGGTACCAGATACCAGACAAACACCAGTACAATACATCTCCTTACTCCTGATATGAGTATAAAGTCCTGAATTAGTCTCAGAGTTGCTCGTCAGGAATGCCGAAAGCCCTTATCTCACCAGAAACCAGCAAACTCAAGGGACCAGAGCTAAAGAGATCCTAAATTTAGTTTCTATGCTCCTCCGCACCAGAACAAACGCCCTTAAAATCTGAAATGTGCAAAAACTACTGGTAATATTAAAGCAGTTCTACTATAGCATGTTATCACTATTTATTTATTCCAAATTGCAATTCGCAGTTCATTTGTATAGATTGCATTTGTGGTAGCTTTCTTTTTGCTTTTTCTAAAGTAATTGAATTGGCCTGTGCATGACTGATGGAACACAAATAAACGCGCTTTTCCTAAAATGATCTACCTTTCTTATGAGGGGCTTCTGAGAAGCCGTAGCCAGGTATGGAGGGGATCACAACCTCAAACGCAATTCTGTTTTGGTTCTGCGTGAGAAGTGGAAGAATCTTGTAGAACTCATAGAAGGAGCCAGGCCAGCCGTGAACAAGCATGAGCGGCAGAGCCCTCTGGTCCCCATTCTGTAGTGGGCGCACATGGATGAAGTGCACGTCCAGTCCTGCACCGCAACAAAAGACATAAAACAGGTTTTACCAGATAAAAAGTTAAGCCAGCTGCTGTTCAAATAGAAGGTGTGTACCTTCTATTTTGGTTTTGAAGTGTGGATACTTGTTCAGCATGGCCACTTGCTTTTTCCAGTCAAACGTATTCCTCCAATAAGAAACCACCTTCTTAAGATAAGTGGAATTGAAGCCATACTGGAAGCCACTGTCCTCCAAAGGGTCAGTGAACCGGGTTTTGTCAATGCGTTCATAGAGATCCTGGTAAACAAAATCATAACCAAGCCCTTTACACAAAACAATGCCTTGCAAAAGTGTTCTCACCCCATGAACTTTCTCCCATCCTCTCATTTTATCGCCACATTTTATTAGGATTTTGTGATGGATAGTAGTGTAAAATTGTGAGGAAGGAAAGTATTACACGTTTTCTAAAAGTTGGTGTGAGCCAAACTACCTCAATCTCTTCATCTGACGTTTCCACTGTAAAGGGGTATATTTTTTGATCCTCTAAGAGTGGTTTTTCTCCTGCTCCCCACCATCCCTCACCAACAGGGATAGTTCTCATTTTGCTTCTTCTCTGCATTGCATAGGTCAGGATTCCACCTGCCGCAGCTGCTGCCACAGCACACCCAATAAGAAGCTGCTGTTGTGCAACATCCAGCCCAAAAAACGTGTCCCTGCAAAGTTTGAGAGAAAAATGGTTGAAATGCAGGTAAAAGTAAGCACACTTACACTTTGTCAATTTGTGATTTTAGAGCGCTTACTTCAAAAGTTGAAGTCTCTGCATTGTGTAGCTCAAAACGTGACCACTCGCACAGGTTGCTTTATGCTAATGGGATAAAGGTCGAGAAAGTTTGATTTCCAGTGCAACAGCTTTAAAAGTTTAGACCTTGCTTTGGAAAACCTTATTTATCGCGTTTTTTACACCTCCTGATGAAGATGGGGTTCACGCTTCTAACGTCAGAAAAAGCCAAAACAAACCTTGGGAGATTATCCGTTTATCCAAATGCGGTTAGACTTCTCCTGGAAGGAAAGAAGAAAACACAAGGCGGGTTGGTCCTACGGAGATTGTTTATTGATAGCGTGGTGCGTCACTCCTCTACTAATCTGTGAGCGATAGTGTCACTTTTGCTTTATAAAGAGCAGACCGCTATACACAATCAAACAGCGTCCAAGTTGGACTTTTCTCCCTCCGAGTAAGCAGTTTAAACTTACAGAAGGAAGATGTGGAAGATTGTTGTTCCAATTTTTGCGACTATTTTCGCCGTTGGGCAGTGTGGCATACCAGGGGGATGGCAAAACGCCGACATCCAGGGTGAGGATTTCCAAAATGCGCTGAATTACGCCGTCGCCCAACACAACAGAGGCAACGAAGCTGATATGTTCCTCCACAAGGTGGTTGAAATCGTCTCCGCACAGTTTCAGGTGAGTGCCGTAAACTGTAACATTCTGTTGACATGGTTACTTGTGGGGCTGCACAGCGACGCAGGTGGTAGCAGTTACCTTGGAGCAAGAAGGTCCTGGGTTCAAATCTCTGCCCGGGGTCCCTCTGCATTGACCTTGCATTCGTAGGTTCTCACCGGGAAACCAAACCAAAAACATGACTGTCAAGTAAATTGGCCTCTCTAAATTCTCCCTTGGTGTGCGTGCACGTTTTAGTTCTAATCTGACTAAAGAGCATATTTTAATATATTTTAATATATTTATTTAATATTTTAATGTAACTTTAGGTTTAAGCATTTTGGTGACCTGTATTCACACTCCATGTAAATAATTTTCTGACAATAAAAAGTGCACAATGGTTAATTTTATGCTAGAATTAAATGGAAATAGGATTTAAGAAATGGACATTTCTTGATAACTTTAATATTTAGCTTTTCAAGTACATTATGTATGTGTACTGTATGACTGCAACCATATATATGTTTTTAACAAACTGGATCACCATGGTTCATCTTCTCCATAATAGGTGGTCGCAGGAGCTAACTACAAGATTACTGTGAAACTGGGACGGACCAACTGCAAGAAAGGCGAAGCAAACACAGAATGTACTGTCTACGTGGACCCAGCTAAGGCTCAGGTAATTATATTACATTATTAAAAAGATGTTGTAAACTTTAGGGATGAAAATGTTAATTATATTCCCATTTTCCTCTCAGACATAACAAATACAATGAAGTACTGTAAAACTGTGACATGATTATCATTTGATTGTGTTAAAAAATAACACAGCTTGGTTCTTTGGAACCAAAAGCATCTCAGGTTTGTCTGCATAAATTATTATATAATGGTATGCTATTGTAATTGTTTTCTGGTCTTTCTTTTTCAGATTTACCAGTGCACATTCATAGTGTGGAGCTGCCCGTGGCTCAATGACATTCAGGTCACGGAAAAGCAGTGCTTGAACCCTTAACTCAACTCACCTTGAAATATACGCTACTTTTAACAGTGTAAACATCTTACCATCCTCTGTGTGATGAAGTCCACTGTTTTCACAACTATGAATGCTGTAATGCAAAATAAAGTTGATCAATTGTTTAATTACTTGGTAAAACCTACAAATTAAAAAAAACAATAAAGTAAATTTGACTTATCAGAATCTGTCCTTGTGATTAATAATCTTTTTTTTTTGTCTCCCTCTGTTAGGTGAGCAAGATATAGAACATATTTTTGGCTGATTATTCATCAGCATGAAGCAAGTTGTGGTAATTGGTCCAGCTAGGTGTCCTATTTAATTTTTTGAAGTGTGGATGCTTGTTGGAGCACTGTTGCCTTGCAGCAAGAAGGTTCTGCATTCAAATCCTGGTCTGCGATCTTTCCGCACAGAGTTTGCACTTTCTGAGTGAACAGATGTCTCTTGGGCAACACTGATTTAATCATAATTTGAAGTAAAACTGCATGGTGCTCAATATGTTAATGATAATAATTGTGGCATGATTTCAGGCCCCATAGTCATTCTTTGTAGAACGACCTTTAACTGCAATTACATCTCTAAGTCAGTAGGTGGCGTGCTTCTACTAAATTTCCTATTAATTCATGTCCTTGTGTTTGGGGCTCTCTATCAATGAAAATGCTTTGATTTAAGTGAGTCCATGTAGCTACGGTTGCCTGATCAAATCAGGGTATTTGTCCTGCTATAAGTTTAAACCTGGACCCGGTCGCAAGTCTTGTGAAACCCTTTAGTTCTGATGAATACTGTATTCAAGCCTACAGGCATGCCTTGAAGAAATAAAACCCTGGATAAAATTTAATTTTCTGTTTTTACATTCAGAAAAGAGTGGTCATTTTTGGACCAGAGCATTAAGAAAAAAAAGACAAGATGCTCAGTGAACCAGTCGTAACAGAGTAAGTGACTAATAAAGTAAAGTTAAACGTTCCATGAAGAAAATGCATTCATTCCCATTTGTGGTCACCTCCAGGAAGGTAAGAAACCGTAACAGTTTTGCCAGGCCCAATGTAACTTGAATAAAGGGAACTAAAATGGAGACAATATAAATATAATAGCAACAATGTTAGCAGGTACACGCAGGACAGAGACTTCTCTCTGCGTACTTTCAAATCTCAAAAACATGTTAGCTGATTACAAAGTCCAGACTGTCTGTTAGTCCTTAGAGACTTTTGACCTCTGGAGATAAGCTCTGGCCTCAGTGCTCGACAGCTGATTGATTATCGATCGGATGAGTCCTCTGGTAAAATATAAATAGTTCCATCTCTTCTGCTTTCAGAGAGCAGGCAGAAAGCATCAAAGCTTCTTGTTCTGAGCCTTTTGGCAGTTTGACCTACGAAACAACGATGTGGAAGGTTATTGTTCCTTTTTTTGCTGCTCTTTTAGCCTTTGGCTTTTGTCAGATGATGGCTGGAGGCTTACACAAGATAGAAGATGCAGATAACGATGAGGGCTTCCAGAGAGCTCTGCAGTTTGCTGTTGTCCAACACAACAACGGGACCAATGACACGGTCCTCTACCAGGTCCTCAAGGTGGTCTCGGCTGAGCGTCAGGTCGGTAATGTTATACAGATTTAAATGTTCACTATTCACTCAAGACTACGGTGGCCGACAGGTGCAAATGCGCAGCAACAGAGAAAACATGCAAACAAAAAAAGACGCAAACAAATTAAATGCAACAAACAAGCAGAGATGACGCAAACAAAAAGCAAATAAAATGCATGTTTGCTGAATTTTATTTGCTTTTTGTTTGCATCTCTTTTTTGTTTGCGTCTCTTTTTTTGTTTGCATGTTTTCTCTGTTGCTGCGCATTTGCACCTGTCGGCCACGGTACAAGACTTACTGTTAGCATCAAACGTAGATACTTGACACAGTTAGGGGGCCAGATGTCACATATTAAAAGATTTAATTTAATTTGAACTCATTAACTACATAAAGTTTTTGTGAATAACAAATATAAAAAAAAGATATGTTAACACTGTTTTTTTTGTCTGTCTTTGATGCTTCACTTCTGATAAGAGTTTTTTTCACTGTGTCACAATAATCTGGATTTTCTTTGTCGTGGCTGCCTCTTCTAAAGGTGGTAGCTGGGACCAATTATGTAATCACTGTGATTTTGGGAAGAACCAACTGTGAGAAGGAGGCACCAGTAGATGGCTGTGCTATCCACAAGCAGCCAGGATTCGCTCGGGTAAATTCACTAGATAATACAAAGCTGACTTTAGTATTTAAGAAAAAGAATCTCACACATAAACTACTAATAAGTAATGTTTGAATAAATGAACATGTATTCTCAGTTTTATTGACATATTTTGTGGGTTTTCTCTTTCAGCCTTACCAGTGCAAATTCAATGTGTGGAGTCGCCCATGGCTCAATGATACCCGGCTGACCAAAGAGGAATGTGGCAATATTGAACCTGAGTCACAATGAAAAACATTTTTCTTTTGAAGCTCTACAAAGTGATACTATCTTGACACCCTCTCAAAATCACTTCACTAAAGCTTTAAATAAAGCAACTTTTAAACTCCCCTGAATATGTTTGTGTGTCTGATATTTATTTTAAACTTTGCTGCAGATGTGCTCTGTGTATTCTGTGTCCCGAAACATGCCTTGTAGTATAGGATTTTGTGTGATCGCCTTAGAAAAAATTTTGAATTCTTTGGTCAGTACTTTGTAGTATGAAAGGCAACATCAAAATTCACTGATTCATTTGATTTATGGTGACCTCTTGAGGGTTCACTGTTGACTTTAGATCCATGCAAATGAAACAAAAGTCTAAAGTGTTGCATTCTCCACAGATATTTGGATATTTGTGTACACCAGCTCCTAAGAATTTGATAAAACAGTTACAGGAAAGGGGTTGATAAACAATCAGAATTACATAAAGAGTGCATAAAAAAGTATCCAAGCGATCATTTGTTTACCTGATCATGTGAGCATATATAAAGCAGTGTTTTATGTGACAGACCAAAGGAAACTGTTGCAACAATGCAAAGTTGAAGTAAAAACACACATTGCTCAAATGGTTTCACAAAAAAGCAGCTAATTGTGGCATGCATATGGATTCAGCTGCTCTAAGTCACTGCAGCTACAGTGGGCATGCATCTATATTTACCGGTAGTCATCTATTGATTTATCCTCCTTATATTTAGGTTGCTCTGCCAAATGAATATGTGTGACTTAAATCATTCCACTGTAGCATCTATTGGTTGCTCAGGGTCTTTGTCTTTTAAGTTGAAATTTTACCCTGGTGTCAAATTTTGCAAAACGTGCAACAGGTTAGCTACATTTATCAATTCCAATTAATCAAATACATTATGTAGATCACAGGCATGTCTAAAAGAAATAAAAGCCAGAGTGATATCTAATTTTCTGCATACAAAATTGAGAGAAGACAGATGAGTTCATGAACCAAAAGATACAAAAACAAACCCCAAAAACCTCACAGACACTCAGTTTAAGGCTAATTCATTAATGCTACATGTTTTAAAAAATGGCATTATCTGTTGTTTTATCATTAAAACAACAGAGCATTAAAAAAGAGGCTTCTCAGTCAATCATTGGGAGAGTAAATCCTGATTGACTAATAAAGTAAAAATTGTTGGAAATATCCTTTAATTCCCACAATTAGAATTCCTCCTTTCAAATCTGCAATAATGCCTAATTTAGAAATATCTTGTTGCAGATCCAGAAAAACATTTCACGCATTTGTTGCTTCATAACTAGATAATTCCATTTCTTTGTTGACAGGATGTCTAAAAATGCAGTTAAAATATATTGTTTCTTCCAAAACTCAGCTTTTTCCAACTGATTTAAAAGGGGGAATATTTAGAATTGAAATTCTCATTCTCATGAAACCCTGCACAATCAAGCTTCATCATACGTCAGAAATCTAATTGTTACAGCTGTTCCTAACAGGACATTTTGCTCTCACAGTTAAGGGTTATGAGTAGTTCACTTCTTAGAGTTACTAAAAGTAGAATGGGAGGCAAATCGTTTAGTTATCAGGCTCCTCTCTTGTGGAACCAGCTCCCATTATTACTGTCATTAACTTTGTGTTCCCCCCTTTTTTTTTCTTTTCTCTGGCTTGGTGTTTCAAATTCGGTTTATTTATTTTCATCCTACAAATTTTACAACTGGCTCCACAAAAGAAGGTAGTACCTATTTACTTTTAGCTTTACAATGAAAGTAGTCCTAGTACAATGTTTCTGTGTTTTCTGCAGTCCTCAACTAGAAAGGTGAGAGAGGTGAACATCCATAAAGGCAACAAAAACAGAGACATTAAGTTATGTTATACGAACATGTATGTTAATCGACTGCAAAGTCCAGACTGCCTGATAGTCCTGTGAGTGTGTGTGCATGTTTACTTGTCTCAGAGATGGACCATTGACTGCTGGAGATAAACTCCACCCGCCCAGCTAGACAGCTAATTGATTTTTGATTGGATGATTCCTCTGTTAATGTGTAAATGGTCGGACAACTTCTTTAAAAGAGCAGGCAGCAAGCACCCAAGGTTTAATTCTTCTTCAGAGGTTTTAGGCAGTTTCACCTGCAGAACAAATATGTGGAAGGTTATCTTTCCTTTTGTTGCCGCTCTTTTAGCCTTTGGGTTGTGTCAGGTGATAGTCGGAGGCAAAAAGAAGATAGAGGATGCAGATAACGATGAGGGCTTCCAGAGAGCTTTGCAGTTTGCTGTTGTCCAACACAACAACAGGACCAATGACACGGTCCTCTACCAGGTCCTCAAGGTGGACTCGGCTGAGCATCAGGTTGGTAATGTTGTAAATATTTATGTTTTCACTGTTACATCAAGCCCTAGTTTGAGAACTTTGTTGAACTGCTGTTTATCAGTTTTTGATTGTTCACTACTGAAAAGAGATCTTTATTATGTTACAATAATCTGGATTTTCTTTGTCATGACTGCTTTTCCTTGAAGGTGGTAGAGGGCTCCTTATACACCATGACTGTGATTTTGCGAAGAACCAACTGTGAGAAGGAGGCACCAGCAGATGGCTGTGCTGTCCAAAAATTGCCAGGATTTGCTCGGGTAATTAGAGTAGATAATGAAAACCTGACATTAAACTTTGGGCTTTACAGCAAGAAAACTCAAACACTTTAAACTGCAACTATCATAAGCTAACATTGAGTAATGTTGAATTAGAACCACCGGTAATTAATGTTTGTCTAAATGATTGTCCAAATATTGAAATATTTTATGGGCTTTCTTTTTCAGCCTCGCCGGTGCATATTTGAGGTGTGGAGTCGCCCATGGCTCAATGATACCCAGCTGACCAAAGAAGAGTGTGACAGTGTTGAGCGTACTTCAGAGTGAAAAACTTTTTCCTCTTGAAGATTTGCAAAGGTTAATGCCTTTACACCCCATCAATGTCATGTCAGTAAATGCAACTTTCAAACTTTACTGAATTTGTCATTAACCTCAATAAAGATCTGTATTCTGCAATGCAAAATCAAAGTTTCACTATGGATTCATTAACAAACAAAAAAGCACAACTTTTAAATAAAGGAACTTTCTAACTTCTCTGAAAGTGTTTTGTCTATATTATATACAATGTTTTAAGCTTTCATTATTTTTTTTTACATTTAGTTTTAGTTTTATTTCATTTACTCAAACATGAATAGTTCATGAAACAACTAAAGGAAATCATGAACAAAAACGAGCAGAAGGCTGTATAAACATATCTGTCCCTTATTCACATAAAAGGGAAATTAGCTATTCAGCTCTAGACTATAATGGTGCTGTCTGCAAAGTTCAATGATTTGCTCAGGTCAATTCGCTAAATCATGAAAACATTAAAGCTTTGTAATTTAAAGAGAAATCACAACTACATCAAACCACAGCTGGCATTGTAGCCGACAATGTAGCTTTTCACAGCAACAAAGGTAGCTTTTCATTGTTAATGAGTGCATACAATAGCAAGGAGTGCCTACTTGTTATTGTAAGCACTCCAATGACTGAGTGTGCTTACACTCATTTATCCAAACAACATGTTTGGATAAATGGTGCAAATTGGAAGTGTGGCCCAATGGCAACCAGCTGACCTAAGAGGAGAGCAGCAGTATTGAACATATTTCAGAGTGAAAAACAGTTTCCCCTGGAAGGTCTGCAGTGTCACTGCCTTCAGGTCACTTCAGTAAAAGCTACTTCACAACTTTCTAACTGTACTGAAATTTTCAAGAACATCTACAACTATTTGTATCCTGCAATTCAAAACCAAAATATCACCATGAAAGTATTCAAGAAAGAAAGAAACAAAAGACCTACACTGTTTCAAATAAAGTAACTTTTAAACTTCCCAGATATGTTGTGGAGTTTTATCTGAATGCTCTTTAACTGGATAATGAAAGAGTTACCAATGCAGCACTGAACAAGTTTTGTTCATGAAAGAATGTGAAATCTCTAATTGGTTGCAGTGCCTTGCAATAGTTTTCATATTGCTGGCCAGTTTTACATTTTGTGGCTAACTTTAATTGATCATCAGTATTTTATGTTGTAGAACAAAACTGATAATTCTCCCCTCTTTACTCTGATTTGCCTAAATAAAATTCTATTTCCAAAATGTCAAAACATAATTTGTGAAGTAAAATGAATCCTGCACATCCTCCTCCCCGTTTTGCCTCCTTTTAGGGCCTATTTGCACTCGGGTTTGCTCAGACTAGTCTGACTCCATTTGACCCACCAGTATCGTACCCCGATTTTGGCTATGTTTGAGCAGAGTGCCACCTTAAAAACGAGCAGGGGTTGTCAAATCAAAAACACGCAAATCTGTATCTCACAACTTAAAATTTCTGAATTGACAACATTGGAAGAATAAAAGAAGTTACACAAATGAAACTTTATTCAAAATCATATATATACACACACACACACATATATATATGTGTGTGTGTGGTTTATACACATATATAAACCACAAAAAACCATTCAAAGAAGTTCAAATGTTACTTTATTGAAAACAATTTAGATTTTGCATTGCACAATACAGAACTTTGTTGAGGTTCAAATGTTTGACAGTTGTTTGGCAGCATTGACAGAAGTGACCTTGAGAGGGTGTAAAGGTAGTAACCATTTGCAAATATTCCAGAGGAAAGGGATTTTCACTCTGTAGTACGTTCAACACTGTCACATTCATTTGTTATTAGCTGGGTATCATTAAGCCATGGGCGACTCCACACTTCAAATTTGCACCGGTGATGCTGAAAAAGAAAGCGTGCATAATTTAAATAAAACAGAGAAAACATGTACATTCATCCAGACAAATGTTAATTGTTACTGCTCTTAACGAGTGCCTACAATGACATATTTTACAATGTTAACTTATAATTGATGTTTGAGATTTCTATCTTTAAATCTCATAGTTTAATATCAGGTTTTCATGATCTGGTCTAATTACCCGAGCGAGTCCTGGCTCTTTGTGGATGCCACAGTTGTCTGCTGGTGCCTCCTTCTCACAGTTGGTTCTTCCCAAAATCACAGTCATGATGTGTTTGAGCCCCGATACCACCTTTCAGGAGAGACAGACGAGATAGTTATTCACAAAGACTTGGGTTCGAATGAAATCTTTTAATATGTGACGTCTGGCCAAATGTGTCAAATGTTTACATTTATTTCTAATAGTAGGTCTTGATTCAACACTGAACAAAGAAATATCTGCAGCATACTGACCTGAACCTCAGCCGAAACCACCTTGACAACCTGGTAGAGGACAGTGTCATTGGTGCCGTTGTTGTGTTGGACGACAGCAAACTTCAACGCTGTCTGAAACATTGCATCGTTTTCTGCATCTTCTATCTTATTTATGCCCCCAGGAACACAAAAGAACCCGACAAAAAGAGTGGCCAGGAAAGGAAAAATTGCCTTCCACATCTTTGCTTCAGAAGTGAAACTACAAAAGTGTTGAAGTAGGAATGAACCTCTGAATCCCTCTGCGTTCTCTTTTAGGTCATAAATGGTGTTATTGTTTAGTGATTAACAGGTATGACACGCCTGTCAGACATCCAATCAACAATCAAATAGCTCTCAAACTAGTGGGCTTGTACTTATCTCCAACGGTCAACAAGCGAGAGTGGAAATCCACCTTGGAGAGGTCAACAGTCCATCACAGAGAAGCACAAACACGCACACACAACTATGTATTCAGAGTCATCCACACACAGAGAGACACAAATCCAGAGGCAATCTGGAGTGACCAGTGAAGATAATACAAAAGTACATGTTTCTATAAAGTTTGAGTGCCCAGAGAGAACCTCCAAAAGCACGAGGGTTTTTGAAGTAGCTCATCCAACCAATGGATGTAACCAGTTTGTTTAGTTCCTATGTTTCTGTGCAATTTAAGTTTTAGGGGTTAATATGACCTCATAAAAATAAATATCACACACTAGCTTTGAACAAATAGGGATTTTTGCAAATAAATTATCCCACGTTCTAAAATCATGAATTAATGAAATCCTCAAAACACAGAAACCACAAACATTAACAGAAGAAAATAAATAAAATGGCATCCTGGAAAGAGACACAGATTTGGATAAAACATGGCAATAAAAAAAACAATGAAAAGTAAATAGATGTAGAACAAGAGAGGGAAGGAAAGGTTAAAGAGCACTGTAGGGTAAGATAGGAACAGATTGAATAAAAGCCATTTCTCCAAGTTAATGTCTCAGTACACGGCATTTCATTAACACACCACATATATAGACCATGTTACTGTTATTGTGCTTGCATAATCAGGTAATCAAATCCACTCCTGTGTACTTTTTTAATTCACTGTTCATATATTTCTGATTATTCATCGGCTCATTTTCCTGTAAGTGTGTCACCAAGTTCTGATAGGGATTGGATTACACACATATTTGAGGATAATGAAACACTGTAGACCTTTGTTTCATTTGCACAAACCAAAAATCAGCACAGACCCCTCGGGAGGTCACCAGCAAATCGATGACACAGCAATGTTTGGAGTGAGAGGTCCTTTGGTTATTTAACACTTTTGAGGAAGAATTATAATTGTATATCCAATAAGGCTCCTGAGAAGGTACTGTAGTGGATTCTAATTCATTTCACTTTAGGAATAAAACAAATATTCAAAACTTCATTATCATCATTTCATACTAATCCTAGTAAAGGACCACACATATAAAATGAGAACCAACAGCTGAACAAAGTAAAGCTGAAGGACATTGACTCCTTGTGTCCTACGTTTCTGCTTAGGACTGGTTAGGACTGGGACAAACTGGACAGGCCAGAGTAATGAAGTGAGAGCGTAATAGAGAAGAAGCTCTGATGGAAAACAAGTGTGATGAGGCTGTTTAGAATTGCAAAAATAAACAAAAGAACTTTAAAGGGAACATTAAATACCCAAGCAGCTAGTGGAGGAAATCCAGGACAGGGATAATGTGTTCCTGTTAAAGACCTGCAGCAGCTTTTCAACCAATTCCTATGAGGAATGGCTGATTATGAGATAGCGTGAATCACAACAATTGTACACAGTTAATAAGCAATATTTTCTTTCATTTCATCCTACTCTCTTGTAAAATACTAACAACAACAAAAAAAAACAATAAATACAAAATTATTTAGAATAGTGTTAGGCTGTGGTTGTACTTTATTTTGCACACACCAACTAGAGGTGATCATAAAGATTTCCCTGACTTCTTCAATATACTAGATTTTTCCACTTCCTCCACTGAACAACATAGATCTTTCCAATGTACACTAGGAAAATAAACAGCAAGATAAAATGAAATGACTTTCTTTGTATTAAAAAGACAATTTAATTTAATAAATGCCATGGCAGTCTTTAAGAGAATGAGTATTTCAGGTTAAAATTACAAAGTTGGGCACCTCCTGATTAATAGGAAATGACAGCCAAACTTTTTTCAGTATGAGTTATTGTTTTAGGACTACCTGCCTGCATGCTGGTAAATAATCACAATTACATAAATAATGCATAAAAAAGTGTGCAGGAATCGTGCAGCCAAGGAAAGAGAATGTAAGGTTCATGTGATTACCTGACCATGTGATATCGGTTTCTGATTTGATACTCTGAGAGCAACAGCAGTTTTAAATGAAAGAACTGTTGAAGTAGAGACCTCAAACATAATTCCATTGAGCAGCTCTAAGTCAAAAAATATTTTACAACTAATAAGACAAGGCAGGAAAATCTTTCTGATCCAGGTTGCATAATAATGAAGCACGTCCTGAGACGTACACCTTTAGAAATGTTTTGTTTGTTTTTTTTGCAAGAGAAAACTTCAAATGAAAGCAGTCACCATGAATTTATTCCAGAAGCATGTGGAATTATTTTTCTGTAATCCATACATAGAGATGTAGGATGGACTCTACCTCCTAAAAGGTTTTATTCAGATTGTAATTATGTCTCTCACTCAACAGTGCTGAATAGCTGAACGACCTCAAACTTCAAAAATTTGCTGAAAACTTGCTTGAAAACCTTTGATATACCTAAAGTTTTCCCTTTTCCCAAAAAAATGTGCTA